AGACAAAATTGTAGATGCACACGCTATCTATCGCGAGTAAAATGGTACTCAATTTAAAAGCCAAGGCGTGTGGACTCTTCTTGGAAACTCGCCCAAGTAGATGGAGTCCATCAACGCGAAGAAAACTCAAAAGCGACCGAGCAGCTCTTCAAATTACCACACGGATGAACACAATACCCAAACCGCTCATGACGCCAATCAAGAGCGCCCCGTCGGTCGAAAGGCTGCCAAAAAGACTCTAGAGATGGAGACAAGCTTCATTGGGCTAGTTGAAAAATTGACAAAAGAAACGGAGGCTAAGAATCGCTTTCTCAAAGAGGCAACATCCAAGCAGATGATGACGCGCAACATGGAAGGTATGACACCGGAACAGCGTCGCTACTATGAGCTTAAGCAAGCTGAGATTTTGGAAGACTTGCAAAAGGAGATGGATGCGCGAGAGTAGTATGGCAATATGCCATCAAGGGACGTTTGTGAACCAGTATCCCCGGGTAGGCTAAATGATGTAACTAAGATGCAGCTTTGCTGTGTCTTGTGCTGCGAATTTTCTATTCAACAACGGTGGCGCAAGTATCCTGTTTGTAATGTTGCGGATTTCGAGCGTGTTCTATCTTCTACTGTGCGAATTCATAAATGAAGAAGCGAGTGATAACTGTCATTTGGTTCTACAGCGTTGTTCTCCAAGAGATTTCGAGTAAATATGGTTGTTCGCGAGCAACTCCGTGATCATCGTTTTTTTTTTTCATCCTGGGCGGGCTCTGGATCGAATTTTTCATCAGCATCATCTTCAAAGGTTCACGCACGGGCTCGATTATTGGTACGATTGTCTTCTTCCTCACCTACTTCGTGGTCCAATGGTCCAAGCCTTTTTGGACTACTCTACCGAGCACAGTATCACCTGGACTTGTTTGATGCCACTTGTGGAGCTTTCGTTCGGACTATCGACCATCGCGGACGTCGAAGCTACTGGTTTTGGAGTGAACTTTGGCAATTTGTCGACGCTCAACGTGGGCTCCCGTCTCAGCACGGCGCTGCTAATGTTTGGCTTGGACTTCGTGTACTACACGCTGCTCGGTCTGTACTTGGACAAGATCATTGCCAAGCAGTACGGCACGCCACTCAAGTGGTAGTTCCCGTTGTCTCCGTCGTACTGGCGCGACCGCAAGAAATCTACGCTTACGGAGAAGGCCGCGACACCGACGGACGCGCTGCTGGACAATGAAACTGTGGATGTGAATTCGAACATCGAGTCTGTGAGTGCTGATCTCCGTGAGCATCAATTTCTATCTGGCTGGTGTGCTATGATCGTTTCGTATATTTCAGAGGTGACGACCAGATCCCTATATTGAATGGTTACCTTTGAGATCCCACCAGTGCTGCACCAAATCTGTTTTCAGATGCAGGTGTTGTTGTGTGCTGCACAAAGCTTGGTGGCGAGCGATAACATGTTCTAAATCGTTGGTAGTCTCTCGTGACGGGTCAAGTGGAGCAGCGTTGTCGTAGACGTATGGCAGATCCTCCCCTCGTTCGTCTTCAACTCAACTATCATATTGTGCAGGATAATGCACGCTTGCATGGTCATACAGAGATCCTTGTGGCTCCAATATCTCGCCGACCCTTTCACGATAGCCGAGCGTGATTGTAAAACCACGCTCAACGTCTTTCCTAGCACCCTCTTGCGAAATGGCACAGCGTCTTTGCTTGTTATCCGTCGGATTCGAAATTGTTTGTACTAGAGCTGCCCGTGATGGGTAAATTCCTATGCAGAAATTGAATCAGGTCAGTCACAGCCAAAGCACATTGACAGAACGATGCATGCCCCTTACCGTCCGCTAAATAATAGTCGATGTCGTAGGAGTTGCCATTGATCACGTAGTCACACAGAGGTGCAGTCATATTGGAAATTCTTGAGAAGAGATCCGAGCGGTCCAGTACGTTGATGTCATTATGAGATCCAGGCATGCCAAAAAAATGCGTGCCAGAACCATAAATCGCGCGATACGACTGCTTCCAGAACAATTGTAGGTTTTTATTCCTTGCCTGTGTACTGTCCTGCCACGCGGTTGGACAGTTTTTCCAAGCCCAGCGCATACAGTCTAGGCTATCTAGCATGTCAACAAAGCCGCGCTTGTAATGCATAGCCAGAGATGCTCAACCCGTTGCGCGTAAAATTAAACTTAAAGTACGCACAAAACAATCCGGTAGGATAATCTTTTCGACGTAGACAGGGCTTCGCTGCACCGGTAGCAGCCTCAAAATGAGCAACCGTTAATTTGGCTCCCCCTCCCCATCTGAACATGGAGACCAACAGTTCTGCGCTCAAGTTTTTACACCTCTTCGACGACGATGGAAGCGACGACTTGCTGTTTTAGCGGCATTTGCCACCGTTGTCCAACCGCCGCCACCTGCGCGCGGATCATCTACAGGACGAAGCGCTAAAGTAGACCGAGGAGCCGTAGAGGGTCATCGCCGTCTCGTTCAAGATTACATCGCTGAAAACGCCATCTAAAACTCTCAAACCTTTCGCCGGAGGTTTCGCATGCGTCGGTTTCTCTATCTACGCGTTGTTAGTGCTGTGGAAACCCATGACTGTTACTTCCAGCAGAGACGTGATGCTACGGGCAACCTTCGATTCTCGGCATTTCAAAACTGCACCGCTGTCATCTGAATATTGAGGATTAGAGGTCACAGCAGAAAAGGGGCTAGCCGCGTTTCGCTTGGCTGGGCTCGCTACGCTCGCGATAAAAAGATTATCTCACCTGGAGCGTGCAATGCGCGGCTCGCTGGTGAGCTCGGCGCTGGGCCTG